CTTACAATGGCTGATAATTCTTAAAGGTACTAGAAAACGTCAAGGAGGTAGATGGATTTCGACCTCATTGACATGTGGATACTGACTATCTCCAAGATGTGGACAGAGACACCCAGTGGCAAGAACAAGAAGGCCGTCAACAAGGATAGATTCATCAGTAAAATGTTCCTAAGGTCCGTTTTCACATTCTTTGCGAGTAATCTCAGGACTAAATAACATTATAGAGGCGATTCGGTAATCCTCAGTATGGATTCTTTAATTTTATGGCTTTTATATTGTCCCTAACCTTTCTTACAGTCCTACGGAATACGGCATAAAAGAAAACACCCATCCGGTGATCCTGTACATTTTTTCAAGCACTTAATACATCATCTCATCGTATTTTTTGGTTTGAAAGATACATTAAATATGTCCACATGTGAAGCAAAAGCAGTTGCTACAACAAAGCCATGGATATCGATTAGATAGATGGATTTAGGAGATTATTTAGATGTAAAACATTGAGCCCTTGACCCTTTCATGGATTCCACTACCCCATGCCTTCACGCACTCATCATAGACCTCCTTCTTCATGGTCTCCCTATCCTTCCTTCCCCTACCACTGACCGACTTTTCGGCTCCAAGATTGAGAAAATCGTTGAGGTACATACGTCCCCGTTCGCATGCGAGGTCGGCGTAATATGCAGGAGGAATCAAGCTGACGGCTTTGGTCGCGCGAACAGATTGTTGGAGGACGCTAAGCGGTCCTTGGCTGATCTCGTGCTCTTCGAGAGCACGTATTTGTGCCTCGTCGAGTTCAGATTTATTAACGTGCTGATATTGACTAATTGGCGGCGTTAGATTGGTGCCATGGACAAAGGATGGAGAACGAACCTCATTGTGGTCAAGGTCAGACTTTTGTAGGCATGTTAAATACTACCCCAAGACGTTACCTTTTGCATGCTAGTTGTGTAAAAACATTATATAGTCAATTAATGTATTGTTGTTTGTTGGAATTATTTGTGCCACTGTCGAATCCCGCGCGCATTGAAACTCTGTTTCTTCCCTCTCCATTGACTCCAACTTCGATGAGCGATACGAACGCGCAACTAAATTCCATGCCTTCAGCAGAAACAACGACATCCACTGCTCCTACGAACACATCTACAGGCCAGACGTCGCCGTCATCGTTACTCCCACCACCAGAATCGCCTGGCAGCGGTCAAGAGATCACCTATTTTTCTCAAAACTCGTCAAATCTGCAAACAAACAGTTATACCAGTCATGCCCAAGCATCACCTATCCCTCACAAATCTCCCGCCGGACCCTGCTATACGCGGGAGGAACTATTTCACCTCAAAAAGAGTCCTCTCGTGGCTCCCCCGCCGGGTATGCCGTCACGTAAAGAATGGTTTGGGTAAGAATAACATATCTTGAAATATGATACAAAGGCTAAAATGATGTGCACAGGGAATACAGCGAACAAGCAAGTAAATCCAAGGATCACGAAGGTCTCGCGGCCACCAGAATGAGGTAGGAAACATCTGAGCGGCTGAAGACATTTGCTCAT